TCAGTCGCCCCTTGGCCAGCAGCTGACTGTAGACGTCCTCCTTGGCTTTGAGCTGGCCGTACAGCTCCTGCGAGGGAGGCACCACCAGAGCGTGAGACAAAGGGCGTGGGGAGAGGGGGACGGCTTGCTGCGGCTCGGGGCGACGCGAAAACCGGGTTCGGGGCAGGCAGCAAAGTGACAGCGGAGCCTCACTTTGAGCAGGGGAAGGTGGTTAAAGCGTCGTGACGCTTGTCCCAGGCATCAAGTGCAAAATCAGCTGAGAAGAGGCCAGAGAAGCGCTCTTCTCCCCGTCAGATACAGAAGGGAGAAGTTTTGATGCTGATTTTTGACAGACAGGCGCTTGCTGAATTAAAAGCATTAAAAATCTCTCCTAAGAAATTACCATGTGAGCATTGAGTTGTTCCCGGGCAGTTTCTGGCAGACCTCCTGTGGGTTTTGATGCCGACAATTGGCTCTCCATCCTCGTTAGCCACAGGAGGAAGTCTTCAATCTCACCATGGAAACCCTGGGCCTGTTCGGGAACATATAATCGGCCACGGATCAGATGACATCAGCCACCATTGATCATGCGCCAGGGTTAACGCTGCGTTTGCTTCAAAACCAGACGGAGAGGCAGAGCCGGATGCACCGGCGCGTTAAGGAGGGTTATACGTGGTACCTCCTTAACCCGCAGGTGTGCCCGGTCCCGGCTTCTGGGCAGGCACCGAACCGCTCCAGGACTGAGCGTTAAATGAAAAACTTGCATAACAAAATCCCAGTATCTCCAACTCCTTCCCTCTTCATCTCCCCCCAAAGCCAAGGGGGAAGCGGACCCTCAGCAGCGATCCACCGCACAAGGAGGGTACCCCTGAGGCGTCTCCCCGACCTGCTGGAGCGTGGACTGCAGCTGCTGCTCCCTCTCCTCCGTCTTCTGCAGCACCGACTCCCAGCACGAGTTCAGCTTCTCCAGGCGGTTTCGCAGGCTGCTGGCGTCGTCCCCTGCACTCGACTCCAGGAGCTCGTTGCCCGCTTTGTTCACTGTCTCCACGGTCGCTTGGTGGGCCAGGACATCGTTCTTCAGCACCTACATGAGACGTGTTGGGCAAACGTTGGTCACCTCTCTAACCCCCCCGTTAATTCTGGCATGCTCTCGTGGACTCAAACCGACCCGAACCTTCTATGAGAAATAAAATCCTGCAACGGGAATAGACGAAAAACGGACCTGGAGCGGGAGTACTCACATGGTGCTTTGCGAGCTCAACCTCGATGACTTTCGGGTCTCCATTGATGGGTTTTTGTGCATCAAGCAGCTCCTCGGTGTGGGTCAGCCAGGCCATCAGCTCCGCCAACGCGTGCTGGAACTGGCCGAGTGCCAGGAGCGCGGCTTCTAACTTATGCTGGGCAAGGACAGGGAAGGCAAAGGGGAGTTTAAGTCGGGAAGGAGGAGGAGCATCCCAGCGAGTTTCAACCCCGCACCCGCGAGAGCCCAGATCTTCTCTCTACCTGTCTGTGAGCAATCTTCTCGCCCAAATTCTCCCAGAGATGTTTCAGCTCTGTGAGTGGTTCCTTTATGATGTCTCTGTCTGTCTCATCCGTCGCTTTTTTTAGCATCAGTTCACCTTGGTGATTAAGCTTTTCCATCTCAATCTGCTGCTGGTAAACCTCCATTTTAAACTCCTGCCAAAACAAGCAGGACAAAAACCAGACCAAGGTGAATCACCGGAGTGCGAGCTCTGCGATGCCAAGCAAGCACCGGAGAACTGGTCCCGCTCCGCCCGCGTACCTTCATCTCGTTCATTTGCTCCTTAACCGTGTTGAGGTCAGTGCCGACAGGAGACATGTTGCAGAGTTTGATGACGGCGTTATCCAGCCAGTCAAACATGGCCTGAAAGGAGCACGGACGCCGTCAGCAAAGGGAACGGCAAAGCGTGCTCCCCCCGAGAGCTGCTCGGGGAAACAGGGCTGCTGCCTCCATCACCCCGCAGCCACAGAACTGGTCCTTCTGGGCAGAGACGCCTGCTTGGCCAGCACGTGCTCTTTCCTCCCCTCTCCTGCCTCCAACATAAGGACCTGACGGCAGCCAGGCTCATCCTGCTGCTCCGTGCAGAAATCCAGAGAGACTTGGGAAGACGAACGCAGCCGAATATCTGCTCTTCCTCGAAGCTTGGCTGTTGAGCTCCGGCTCTAACAGAGGCTGCAAACACTCACCCAGGAGACATCTCCCGGCTTTGCATTAGCGCAAATCCCAGTCCAGCTCCAGGGACAGGACTCGCAGTGGTGCTCCCAAGGTCTACCCACCCCACACAAACAGCCCTGCCTCTTACTTGAAGCGTATCTTGGTATTGCACAGCCGCCTGCATGGCTTCTTCAAGCTTTTCAAGCCTCTCCTTCCACGTTTTGTTTAGATTTTCCCACGCGTTGTTCATCTGCGGAACACAAGATTGCCCACAAAATTCGTTAAGCTCTCCCACTTGCTGCTACCCGATTTTATCTGAAGGAGAGGCTGCTGGTTTTCCTACCTCATCAATGCTCTTTTTCACTTCTGGTTTCTCAGTTTCGCCACAGGCAAAAATTAAATCAGTTCCAAGGAGTCGGATGAACTCCAGCTCTTCATGCAAGCCATCCGTCTCCTCTTTAATAGTCTGCACATAACACAGTGACAAAAGAAAAATGTTTATTATTACATGCTCTTCCAAAATTGCCCCATGAACGAGAGGGCTAAAGCACGGAGAGTCCTTCCTGCTCTGCTGTCCTCCCTCTGGCCGACAGCCCGAGGCCAGAGCCCAGGACGAGGTTACGCAGCGAGCGGATGGCTGTCCTGCTCACCAGCACCGCCAGCCCGCTCCGCTCCCACCTCCGGCCGCGGAGGCAATGCCGCCGTGCGCAGGGCTTGGGGGAACGAAACCAGGGACGTCTGTATTTAGCGGGATGCCAGCCTGGACTGCCTGGCTGAGGAGCGCGTTTACAGAGATGTGCTGTTTACGGGAGCGTTTTGTCAATACAGGAATGAGCTTCTGAGACTCCGAAGTTGCCAACCGAAGTCAGAACGGTTATAAAAGGGCAACAGCAAGGACAAGCTTAGCAAAGCATAAAGAAACATCCCTGCTCCCCAAGGCCCGAGTCAAGTCAAATCCACCCGAAGCGGGTCTCGCCACTTGGAACAACCAAAGACCACCACGCATATCCAAGCCCATCCAGCTCCACAATTACCTCCGGTCTAACCAAAACCTAAACGTACACCTCCCGCGCTAGACAGCGCTCGGGCGCCTTCGACGCGGACTGGGAGCAGACCTGTGCGAACTTCCACATCACTCGAAACAAGTGGGCCCACAACTCTGACCACACGCTTGATAAGCTTCCCGAAAGAGTAGCAGACAAAGCGATTTAAGCATCATTTCCTTCTCTGGAACAGGGAGGGGGTGGTGGGGAGGGACATGTGGAATATGCTTCTGTTTTTTTCCTCGCAGTTCCAAACTGCAATGGAAATAACAGTTCATAATCTGCCCGCCTGCCTACAAAACTGTTTTACAGCCGCTTCTGGCCATGCTCCTCTCCAGGATCTACCCCAGTTTAGCTTACAAGCTGGGTGCAGACAAGTTCCACACAGAGGTACAGTCCCATGGTCCCCACCTCTGCCGCTTCCACCTGCTGCTTGATGATGGAGGGGTCAATGCCAGGGCTCTCCAGGTCGTGAACGATGTCCTGCGTGTCTTTGATGGTAGTCAGGAGGGCTGCCATGTCGTACCAGAACTTCTCTGCAAGCTCCAGGACATCAAGGAACTTCATTTCACGTTCCTCCGCCCGAGCTTTGATGTCTTCCCAGAAGAAGACCATCTGATCCAACTTATCCTGGATTACTGAGGAAGGGAATGAAAACGTTCAGAGAAGAAAGAAACCTTTCTGCAACTCAAAAGCATTTTGCAAACACTTGCCACTTAGAAATAGCCAACAGAATATTCAAATGGGAATTAAAGATGACCGGGACCGTCAGAGCATTAACGCAGAGATATGGAGGGACATGAGAAACTTCAGCCTGCAGAAATAAAGCTTTTATTTAAGTGCAGGCAAGCTCAGGGCAAATTTGCCCACACACTCTCCTCCAATGAACCACTGTTCTGGCCACCTCTAGCGTGAAGTCTACGCTCACTCAGTCCATGAGCTGGCTGTTCAGCTGCCAAGAAAGGTGCCAATTAGTGCCAGTCGTGTTGACGGGTCTTTTTGTGCTGAGGAGGTTCCTTCCCTCCATTAGATGCTGAATCGACACCAACAAATCATTTCACAGGGGCCACCAACGGTTGCACAAGAGACCAGCTCAGGGCGACGGCTCAGCTCGGCTGAGCTGAAACCTCTGCCTGAGCAGCCACAAATACTTCTTTCTCCTCTGGCTGATACCACCCTACCTGCTCCAGATGGAAGCAGGCACCAGATATCTGCGTGCAGAGGATTCACCCGTCCTCCTAAGGTCAAGAGATCCTCTGAAATACGTCCCTGGGACATCAAAGTCTCCCCCATGGTGATGGAGCCACGGTTTCATAGAATCATAGATTGGTTTGGGTTGGAAGGGACCTTAAAAATCACCTAGTTCCAACCCCTCTGCCATGGGCAGGGACACCTTCCACTAGGCCAGGTTGCTCAAAGCCCCATCCAACCCACCCTGGTGCGGGCAGGAGAAGCTGGGCAGCGCTACCAGCCCAGCCAGCACCTTCTGTTAAACCCACCCCGAGATACCTTTTGCCGCCAGGTCCTTGTCCGCTCCCTGCGATCGCCCGATCAGCTCTTCCCCGCGGCGTTTCAGAGCCTCGAAGGAGGGCTGCAGCTTCTCCAGCTCCACCGTGGCGTTTTTGTTCTCGCTGATGCACTCCCGGATCTTATCGACCTCGGCGGGGATGAGCGGCGGCATGCGCAGGCGGGAGGAGAGGGTCTCCAGCGTCTCCAGCATGGGCTCGATCTTATCGTGGAACTGGAGAAGAACAAGTCCGTTAGGGCGGGCGAGACGGGATTCCGCGACGCCGCAGCGCTGCCCGCACGTGCAACGGCCCTTCGCGCTGCGCCCAGCGGCCTCTCGGAGAGGACGAGCGTTGCCTGCGACGGCGACTA